GGCGGGTCTGGAGCACGGCCGGGTCTAATATGCCCAGAGCCGAGGCGCGATGAAGGAGAAATCCAAGAATGCGGCCAAGACCAGGAGGGAGAAGGAAAATGGCGAGTTTTACGAGCTGGCCAAGCTGCTCCCGCTGCCGTCGGCCATCACCTCGCAGCTGGACAAAGCGTCCATCATCCGACTCACCACGAGCTATCTGAAGATGCGCGCCGTCTTCCCCGAAGGTGAGGCCGCAGGTGGACGGCCGGGAGCGCTGGAAGCCCGGCGGCTCGGCGCGGGCCGGGGCTGCTGGGACGTCCTGGGGAGGCCGCGCGGGGACTTCGGCTTGGCCCAGGCTCACTCAGCAAAGGGGGCAGGGCCGCAGCGGCCCAGGCCACCAAACCGGCTCCCGGCCCAAGGCTGGGGAGGATTGTCCCGGGGACAAGCCCCGCCGGTCCCTTCTGGTTTCGTTCCGTCTCCTTTTCCTCCCTTCTTTTCTTCCTTGCTTCCTTCCTTCCTTTCTTTTTTTCTTTGCCAATGTATTCTAGTTTTGTTTTCTCTCTCTCTCTGCTTGCCAGTCGACTCTGGTTTGGTTTTGTTCCTGCCCCCCCATTCCTTCCTTTTCTTTCTTCAACTCCCTTTTATGTTCCCTTCATTCCTCCCTCTTTCCTCTTCCTGGAAAAGGTGACAGACACTTGCTGCTCCGCACGCCGGGAGCCAGCAGGGATCACCGTGAGACCCCCGGCGTTGCTGCGCCAAAGCTGCCCAGCTACGCTTCTGGGGAGTCCGGCCTCAGACTGGGGTCTCTCCCGTGGCCTCTTCTCTGCCCTCCTCCTTTTGGGCTGGGGTGCAGGAGATCAGGATAGGAGACACCACAGGTCGGTGAGCTCAGATCTGGCCAGAAGAAGAGGGAAGCGATTAGTTAGAATATGGCAGATGGGCCAGCACAGCCGTTCTTCTTAGGACTGAAAAGGTGCAGGTCGACAAGGGTGCTGGGATGCGAGGGTCCAAGACTCGGGAAGCGTGGCACTGAGTGGGTTCTCCCTGGCGACACACACACCAGCTGCCTCCGGTGACAGTGGCAACTGGGCAGCAGGTCTTGGGGCGGCCTGGTCTCCACAATGCTGGTTTTGGCGCCCCAGGGGTTCTGGGCCGAGCACTTTCCAGCGTCTTTGCCATGGACCGGGTCGCTGCGACCTGGCCCGAGGGATCCTGACACGTTGCTGGCAGAGGACTGCTTAGAGGCCCGATGGGGGTCCCAGGACCTCCGCGCCCGGGAGTCGGGAGGGCTTCGCGGGCCTCTGGAGCCCGGGAGCCAGTGCTGGGGTAGAGAGACAAGTTCAACCGCCCGGCACTGGAGGGTCGCTGCAGTGCAGGCGACAGGTGTCCCTAGGCCGCAGGGCGCCTCCATGAAAGCCGTCCCGGGCCAGGCGCTCTGCTCGAAATCGGAAGGCTCGACCTTTTAGTTCGCGCTCCCAAACCGGTTATTTGTGCTGGCCTCTGGGTCTGGAGCTGCACGTCTCTTCGCCTCTCTGGTGTATCGCGGAGTGCAAGCGCCCCTGTAGTTCCACGGGCCGGAGAGCCAGGCGCGGGGGATCCGGCGCACCGCGGAGCCGGGGGGACCGGGAGCGGCGGCTCAGCCTTCCCGGAGCCTTCCAGCCCGGCCGTGCGGCCGTGGGGCGCTCTCCTCCCCGGCGCAGCATTCCCAGACCTTCCTGCCTCGAGCCCAGCGCACATTCCTCTCCGTTCCAGTTTGGATCCGCAAAGACGCCCCGGTCCCAGGCCCCCTCTCTGGAAGCAGTGGGCCGCGGTGGTCGCTGCCTATCTGCCCAAGGGTGACCTTTTGTGGAGAAGTGGGAAGGATTTCTCTTTGGTTGAAATCAAAACAGAATTAGGTTTTATAAGGACCGAGTCTCTTTCCCACCCGGGGAGAAGTGAGGGTAGCTGGTTTGCTGGGACGCGCCATTTCTTGACCACTGGCAACAAAACAGGTGGGGAATCCGGACAGGGCAGCCGCTCGCCGCCTCCTCTCCCCCCACCCATTGGAGATAAAAAGATAGTTCCAAGAAACGAGCAGAAGATTACATGATTTGTGGCCAGTGATTTCAAATAAACCAGGCATTAGAAGGCCAGAGCAGAGAGCCTGTCGCAAGCTGTTCGTTGTTTGGGGGATTTCGAGAAGCAGCCCTGCTGAAAGTTGGGAGGAGGTGCTTAACTGGGCCTTTGCGTTCTAGCCCTGAAAAGCGGGTCACCTGGCATTTGGGCCGGAATGACTGGACCCTGGGCCTTTGCAAACTACTGGCTTCGGGACCATGTTTGGAGCAGTTGAGGGACTGCCCATGCGTCTCCTGGTGGGGGCAACCCTGAAAGTTGGCACTCCAGAAGGGGGCCGGAAGTGAGCTGTTTGGCCTTAGAGTTCTGGACCCCGAACCTGTAGGATCCCTGCTGGAGAGGAGAAAAGGGTAGTGGCCTACTTCCTTCCTCCCGGGTTCCTGCAATGCCTGGGGAGGGGAGATCTGGAGTGAGATGCATCCTTGGGACTCAGCTGGCCACTTCGGGGTCTCGGGCCTGCAGCTCTGGGTGGCAGCACAGTTCTGTCAAGTTATAAGGAGGAGTTATAAGACGGGGAGTCTGAGACAGAGAAAGAGAGAGATGCATTTAGAAAGGCCTCCATTATGCAAAGTGGAGAAATTGCCACCCTTTGAGTAGCTCTGAAGGGTGATGGGGAAATGGCACCTTAATGAAGTTAACCTTGTCTGCAAGTGGGGCATAGGCTCTGGGGTAAGAGTGGGGCCAGCTATGCCGCCAGGGTCAGAGGCCCTAGGGAGGTTTTTAGGGACAGCGGGCCTGGGCAGTGACAGGAGACTCAGATCACCTCACTGCTCTCAGCTGCAAAATGAAAAATACTGAGAAAAGCCCATCTGCCAAGGGCTGGCTTGCCCAGAGCAAGCGGAATCCCTGGGTAAAAAAGAATCTAGAGATTAACATAGGACTATGGGAGTTAAAAGATGGCCAGCATAGTCCTCAGGAACCATGGGAATTACCAGACTGACCCTTCATACCTGGCGAAATTGAGGCCAGAGAGAGCACGGGCCTTTCCCAGGCTCCCACAGCAAGGGCAAGAGGTCAGTCATGGCCTCGGCGGTCCTTTGTGGCCCATTCTCATGCCATCATGCCCTCAAGCCTGCCAGCCTCCGTTTTGTTTTCCTCCCAGACCTCCTTGAGTGGAAACACAGAAAGAGGGGCTTGGAGGGGTCCTTGCATGCAGAGAGAGGTGACCAGAGCCAAAGTCAACACCCCACTAGGTGGCCAGTTGAGGATACTTTCCATTTTTACAGCCAGGTTTGTGGATCTAGTGTTATGCTGTATTGCTAAGCCTTGGTCTCCTGGTCCATAAAATGGGTTCTTTAGAAATGCCCTGCATCAGCAAAGGATTGCTGTGATACGAAACCGTGCAGTGCAAGTGGAAGTGTTTCTTGCTTGCTCCCAGTCACTCTCCCAGGCCAGAAACATCTTAAGTGGCCAGGCTGGAGGGCTTAGCACCCAAAGTCTAAAGACCCCTGCTTTCAAGTTCTCACCTTTCCCCCTCTTCAGTGACTAAATAAGAAGCAGGAGGTAGACGCGTCAGGGGAAGAGGACAGGAGAACATGGCCGGCTGCGGGCTCAGGATTGAAACATAGAGTTTTGTTGGGACGCAGGAAGGCGGTAAACGGGGCTGGGACAGCGCCAACCCGACGGTCATCCTTACCCTCCTCACTGTATGTATGTGTGGGGGGGAGGGAAGGGGCACTTTGGAAACCACAGAAGCACCCAGGCAGGTGAACTCTGGGTGCTCCCTGGCCGTGCTGCTCCACGACCACAGGTGGCAGAATACCGGGTAGTTTTTGCCCATAGGAGGTCAGACTCCGAGTCTTGAGTGGTCAGACTCAGAGCTGCCACAGTACCGCTGCCAACCTCAAGGGTTCTGCTCTTCCCAGGAGCCAGGATTCTCACCCTGGCTGGTGGGATATGGGGTCTTCTCTGAGACCTTGCACTAGGGGTGGGACACACACACACACACACACACACACACACACACACACACACACACGGCCTGAATTGTCCTGGTAGTGATTCCCTTGGGTTTAAGTTCAGCTGCAGGCAGCCTCTACCTCCTTCCCTCCCCCCCATCACCTGAGCACCTGAGGAAGCAGCCAGCTGTCTTAGGGATTGTATTCCAAAATCAAAACAATTTAATTAGGAAGGTTTGATGAAGATAGACTTTCCCTACACCCACATGGGGCCCTAGATCCCAGGCCTTTCTCTACCACCACTGCTGGAAATAATGGAGATTTTTTTAAAACGAACTTTTTAACCAGGTGTGGTGGCTCATGCCCGTAATCCCAGCACTTTGGGAGGCCAAGGTGGGAGGACTGCTTGAGCCCAGGAGTTTTAGACCAGCCTAGGCAACATAACAAGACCTCGTTTCTACAAAAAAAAGTTAAAAATAGCCAGGTGTGGTGGAGCATGCGCTTGTAATCCCAGCTACTCAGGAGACTGAGGAGAGAGGGTTGCCTGAGCCCAAGAGGTCCAGGCTGTGGTGAGCCTGTGATCGTGCCTCTGCACCCCTGTCTGACAGAGGGAGACCCCAGCTAAAAAAAAAATCATTTTTAAAGGAACAGTGTAGATTGTTACAACCCTCTTCCCCTCTTCCCTTTGAAGCCACCAGGCTGTAGCTCGAGCTCTTGGAATAGTCACCATCGCCGAGGTGGGGGACAGTGAAGGGGACACCCAGGGCGTAGGGCTGTGGTTTTCCAGAGGAGGAACTAGAGCGCGCGCTGCGGATTCAGCACCCAAGGCCAGAGAAGGACCTAGACTCGGGAGCTCCGACAGAAGAGGAGTCTCACCCGGCGCAGGGCAGGGAGGCTCTGGGCAGGCCTCTGCGGAGCCCGTGGCTGTCAGCGGCATCCCACACCCCGAGGTCTGAGCATTGAGCTCCGGGGACTCGGGGACCTTCCCGCTGTTGTCAGAACTGGAAAGACACCCGCCGGCGACGCCAGGCTGGGTTTGGCGCCTCCTCCCCTCCCTGCCCCTTTGGGCCCTAAAGGCCTTCTTGAGTGTCCTACCCACCGCCCGGCTCACACCGAGTACCGGCCGTTTGATTTGGGAAAAGGTGCACGGGGAGGACTTTCAGGGACCCGGGAGGGAACAGGAGGATCCACGGTTGGAGAAGGACAGAAGGACAGGGAGGGGCCTAGGATCGTGACAATTTACCGGGGTCCTGGTGTGGCATGATGAGGTCTTTTAGAGGTACAAGCTGTGGGACCCCGGCCCCAATCCCCTCCCTTCTTGACATCGTTGTTGCATCTGGGAGCCCTCAAGGGAGCCCCCGGAGCCGGCGTCCCTGCAAGTGGATTCGGGTCATGAACGCCGTCCTGTCGGGGATGATGGGCTTTAGACTCTGCCACCAACCGGGAGCACCAGAGTCCCAAGGTGTGGAGGAGGGAGCGGACACAGCAGCCGTCAGCACCCCCCACCCTCCCTCCCCACCTCACCCCCCTCTTGCTCTTCTTGACTTTGGTGAGTGGTTTGCAATCGGAAAATGTGACCTTGCTCCTCAGAGGGCCAGCAGCATGCCAGAGGTCACACTCCCCAGAGACACATCCTCCTCCCCTCACTCCAGGGGAAGGGATGGATGAGGAAAGGAGCAGTACACAAGGGAAGGCTGGACGAGGTAAGGGCTGTGATGGCAAACGCCGAAGCTTGAGGCTGGGTCCAGCTCACTTAATCCTGCCACGATCCTATTTTAGAGGTGAGAAGTAAGGGTTAAGGGTCGGGCATGTCTTAAGCTCCCACTGTGGAGACTGGCCAAGCTGGCATCTTAAACGGGAATAGCCAGGGAGGGAGTCCAGGAGGACTTGAGACCCTGGTCTCTGGGATGGGGCCTCCCCAACGACTGTCCTTGATTTTTCACACTCCCATATCCAATGTTTCCTAGAGGGGTGGGGGCAGAGATAGAGCCCTGCTTGTTACTAGTCCCCTTCACGACATCCTTGTGAGCTATCTTTTTGTCACTGTTTTTTATTTGTATTGTTTTGTTTATTACGTATTTTTGAGTCTCACTCTGTAGCCCAGGCTGGAGTACAGTGGCACGCGTTTACGGCTCACTGCAGTTTTGGCCTCCTGGCTCAGGTGATCCTTCCTCCTCAGCCTCCTGAGTAGCTGGGACTACAGGCGCATGCCACCACACCCAGCTAATTATTTCTTTTCCTTCTGGCCTAGCCTCAAGTGATTCTCCCTCCTCAGCCTCCCAAAGTGCTGAGATTACAGGCATAAGCCTCCAGGTGCCGCGTCATTTTTTTTTTTTTTTTTTAGATCACTGAGGTTGCCCCTAGGGGAAGTGACAGGAGGTGGCTCACCCTGTTTTTACCAAAGTCCGGGTCCTAACTCCGGGGCTGGACCCACGGTCACCACCACAGTCCCGAGGAAGCAGCGAGACTGGCTGCCTCCTTCGGATGCTTCCTTGAGGTTTCCCCTCATCTGAGAGGAGCGCAGCCGACCTCAGTGCGGGAACATCTCCCCTTGTTCCCAGATAATCTTACTTGTGTGGTACTGTGTTTATGGTCTGGAGATACCCCCAAAGCCTGTGCCCAGAAAGGAGGGACTGCATTTAGTAGTGCCTGTGGTGGGAGAACGGATGGGGTTTAAACTTGCCAGTGGACAGCCGCAGAGCGTGGCTGCCAACATGCACATCACACATACTGGAGGGGAACAGGAGACCACAAGGCTGACTGTGGAGAGTGGGGTGTGGGGCTTGGCCCCTTTCCCCTTGACTTAGCCGCTGTTTTTCCCCCAGGGGCTCCAGCAACCTGGCCATTCCAGACTTCCAGCAGCACGAGGTCCCCACGGGTCCTGCAAGACATGTAGGGTGCAGGGAGCCCACCCCAGGGTGGGAAACCACAGGCCCCGCTTAGAACCCCACATCACCACCAAAGCTGCTACCCGCCCCCCACCCCCCAGGAGTTCTCAACCCAGTCTTCCACCCTCATTTTTGAAATAAAGCCGCTTGTGAGGTCCAGTTAAAGGCCACATGCCCAGCACGTCACTTCTTTGGGAGTGTGTATCGCTTTACAGGACAGGACAGATTTTTTTCGTTACAAATCTTACTTTATAATTTAGTCTCTGCGTTCAGCCCGAAGTAGATTTTTATGGGCTGAGTGAAAGGACCTCACCCACATGGGTTTCTAATGGAAGAGCTGGCAGCCTGGAGGTGGCCTGGAGGCGGGTGCTTGGGGAGAACGTCAGGCGCCAGCTGGGCCACCTCCACCAGGTCCAAAAGCGGTGTTTGTACCAAATCGCCACCGCAAAGCAGAGACGCTGGGAAGTTATAGAAAAAGTGTCACGATATAAGAGGCCCTGCTCTCTTGAAGCATGCGGGTGTTTGGAATATATGGAAAATGGTCCTGTGCGACTCGTGCAAGTTGGCATGCAAAGCCTGGGCCCTCCAAATGCTTCTGGAAGAGCCTAGCAGGGAGTCTGGTCTGGGGGTCATTCCCAAAGACTCTGGTTTCCCCAGTCACTCAGCCACCGACTCTGCAAGAAGTCAAGGCCCGGGGCGTTTCTGGCCTTCTGCAAGGCAGGGCAAGGGTGACTTTCTTCTCCAGGTCTCCAGGGCTCCAGCCAGAGGAAGGCCCTGGGGACAGGGGAGAGAAAGACAATCAGTTACCAGGGCACATTTGTCCATTTTTGGAAATCAGAATTACTGGTTCTTAGTAAATGCTTGCTTCACCCAAGCCCAGGAACTTGTAAAAAAAAATTTTTTTTGTTTGTTTTTTGCTTTGCTAATTAAGTGGGGGTAAACGCTGCCTTTCCCAGGCCGCCTGCCTGAGTGCCAGGAGGAAGGACCTGCACCTGAGAACCAGTTGCCATAACGGTGGCGGTGGCGGGGCTTGGGTAGGAGTGATTTCCTGGCGTTGAAAGAGGCCTCCGCACCAGTGGTTGAGGCTGGAGGGTCACGAATCATGAACTGCTATCCTATTTGGGGACGGGATATGTGGAAGTGAACCACTTCCTTATAGGGAGCCAAGAGAATCCCCTAATTCTAAGAGCCCAGGAGGAGACATTTCCTTTTTTTTTTTTAGCTGCTGAACAGTTTCCAGAAGTCTGCAAAGTCTCTGACCTGGGCCTCCAGGAGCCGCCATGTCCCTGGCGCTCTCAGGGTCAGCAGGGAGACCTGGGGTGCCCGAAGCGACTGCGGCCGATTCCTCGGGAACCCACTCGGGTCTGCCCGCTTGGAACGGCTCTGCAGGCCCTGGAGCAGTTCCCAGGACCGCCGCGGCCAGCCAGGTTCCCTGCCGGAGCGTGCCGCCTGGCACTCCGGGCGCGCAGGCAGGCAGGGGCCGGGTCGGCCTGCAGCTCCCGGGGGACGCGCCGGCGGCTCACTCCGCAGGCGTCGCAGCCCGGGTGGCGGCTAGGCTCGTGGGCCGGGAGCCGGCTGCAGCACTCCCTGCGGGGGAGGGTGGGGCGCAGGCGGAGACGGCCGCCGCCGGCCTTTGCCACCGGCACCGGAGCCGCGGTGCGACCTGATTCCAGGGAGCGGTGGGGATCGTCCCAACTGCAACTTCACCCGCTTCCTTGTGTGCTGAGGAAAATCTGGGCTCCCCGGACCGCTGAGTAGAGCTGAACGCTGATGGCGGGTTCCTCTTTCTCCTGGTGCGCTTTTTGCAACACTGTGACCTGGGGGAGGGGGAGGAGGGAGGGGGCTTGAATGGGGGGTGGTGAGAAAGGGCAGATGAGGCCTTGGGAGGGTCCATCTAAGAAGCGGAGGGCTAGGGAGATCTGTGACAGCGTGGCATTTTGGAGTCGCCTCGGGAAGCCCCCGGGCAAATCCTCCCCAAGTAGAACCTCTCGGGCTGGAGCAGGAGGCAGCGCTCCCGCGGAGCCTGTGAGGGCTGGGAAGCTCGAGGAATGGCTTGGGGGTGGGGTGTCTTTTTTAGGCCAAGCAAGCTACCTCGTGGTCGGCTGAGCCTTTCGTTCTGAGCCTCTCTGCCTTTGGGAAAAAGAAGCGTGGCCGGAGACGCGGGGGAAGAAAGGAACGAAGGAGGGAGGGGGGAGGGCCCTTGCGGGAATATTTACGGGTCAAATCGATATCCCCGATTGGCTACGAGGGTGGCGATTTCAAAGCGGATTAGATTACTTTGTGGCATTTCAAATAAAACGGCAATTTCAGGGCCACGAGCACGTAGGTGACCCGCGGGGGCAGCGGACCCGGCGGGCTCCGGCGCGCAGGGGCGCTGGGGCTGGCGGCCTCGGCGCGAATTTCTCCGGCGGCCTTTTTCTTTATAACCGAGGGCAAAGAGGCGACGGCGAGGGCGCAGAT